ATGCAGACTTGTCAGATCATGGGTCCTGATTTTGGGTAAGGAAAACATGCTTCAACAGTGTGAGGTTGAGGCTTTTGACATAGGCTTACCCAATCTTGTGTTTACTCTTCTTTCATCTCCACATTCTTTCCAACGAATTTAGGTTAATAAAAAGGTACATGCTTTGAAACCAGCCATAATAGAAATGACTGACCCCATGACAGGGCAAAATGAAGCAGGTTCAGGCCTCAAGAAGAATTCACTAACAGGCTTCCAGTAAGGGGTGAATAAAAGCAGAACTACCTGCAGGTCCTGAGGACAATGATGAAAACATGTTTACCACAGAGAAATAGAAATAGAGGTGGGGGAGGGGAGAGCAGTGCCCCTCAGTGGCACGGAGAGGCCAACTCACTTCCATTTTTTTGAGGCTCTTTGTCTACAGAAAAATGAAGAATTTATTTCTTTATTGGATATTTAACAAATGCTTTTGGCACCCCAAGAGTAAAATGCAGTGTAAGATGACCAAATTTATTAAAAGCCCACTAATAAAGCCACAATGAGATACCACCACACACTTATTAGAATAGCTAAAAATGAAAATGAAAACAAAACTGACCATACCGAGTTTTTATGAGCATGTGAAGCAACCAGAAATCTCTTATCTTGTTGGTGGGAATGCAAAATGTACAGTCACTTTGGAAAAAAGTTGGGCAATTTCTTGTAAAATTAAACAGACACCCACCGTAAAACACAGAAATCTTACTCCCAGGTATATACTCCCAAGAGAAATGAAAATGTATGTTCATACAAAATCTGTATATGAATGTTTATAGTGACTTTATTTATAATTGCCCCAAACTGGGAAGACCCAAATACCTTCAACTGGTGAGTGAAAAAATAGTGGTATATCCATCATGGAATACCTGTCAGCAATAAAAAGGAGTGGACTGAAATAAACTTGCATATATGGCCAAATGATTTTTAACAAGGATGCCAAGACTACGCAGTGATATTATAATAGTGTTATATGGTGACAAATGGTAACTACACTTGTGGGGAGCGTAGCATCATATATAAACTTAACGAAACACTATGTTGTACACCAGAAACTAATGTAACATTAGGTGTCAACTACACAAATTTTTTTAAAAAAAGAAATGTGCTTGGGTGGCTCAGTTGGTTAAGTGACGGCCTTCAGCTCAGGTCATGATCCTGGAGTCCCGGGGTGGAGTCCCGCATTGGGCTCCCTGCTTAGTGGGGAGTCTGCTTCTCTCTCTGACCCTCCCCCCTCTCATGTGCTCTCTCTCTCTCTCTCTCTCATTCTCTCTTTCTCAAATAAATAAATAAAATCTTAAAAAAAATAAAAAAGGAAATGTGACATATATGTATATATGTATACACACACACACACACACATATATATATATACACACAATGAAATATTATGCAGCCTTTAAAAAAAAAGGCCTTTGGTTTTTCAGACTCCTCATATCAGGCAGCTTCCAAATGCTATAACCTGGATGAACCTCAAAAATAACCACTATTGTTCCAATTATATGAAGTATCTAAAGTAGTCAGATTCACAAAAACAGAAAATAGAGAGTTGGTCCTGAAGGGCTGGGGGGAGGGTCAGGGGAATTAGCATTTAGTAGGTGGAGTTTCAGTGTTGTAAGACGAAAAAGTTCTAGAGATCTATTGCACAACAATGTGAAAACACTCAACACTACTGAACTGTATACTTAAAAATTATGATTGTAAGTTTAATGTCATGTGTTTTTACACATTATTGTTATTGTTATTAATAATAAAAGGAATGGATTATTGACACAGCATAAAAAATTCTCAAAGGCATTAGGCTAAGTGAAAAGCCAGGCTCAAAGGGCTGCATGCTGAATGATTCCATTGATGTGACATTCTGGAGAAGGGAGAATCTTAGGGATGGAATATAGATTACTGTCCTAAAGAGCTGGGCCAGTGGGAAGGGTTTGGGGGTGGTAAAATTGTTCTATATCTTGATTGTAATTGTGGTTACATGGCTGTATGTGTTTGTTAAAATTCATAAAACTATACCAAAAAAACCCCTGTACATCGATGCATGAGAAAAACTTGTACAGCAAAAACTACACAAAGAAACTTATACTGTATATAAATTATCCCTCATGAAACTGACTAAAAAGAAATATGGAGTAAATATGGCAAAATGTCAAATCTGGTCACAATACAGTGTACAGTGGTATTTTCTGTAACTTTCATCATGATTGCGTTTCCGTATGCAAATAATAAAGCCAAAAATGATTCTTAAAAACCCAACTAGTTTATTCGAACTGCAGTACGGTCCATTAATAGGATGCAGTTTTGAAGTTGTTTGGTAGACAAGGAATTCTTATTTCATTCCTGTGAGTGTATGTCTGTGACCATATTTATTACTTCATTTTCAGAAAAGGTCAAACTTGTAAATTTGGGAACTTCCAAGAATGTGAAGTCTGCTCAAATAGTCCTCCTGTCCCCATAGTGTTTCAGAACAAGAATAATGCCTGGTGGTTGACTGGGCATGTGAAGAATGGGAGGCAGAGAGAAACTGAGGATTATTTTCTTTTTTTTTTAAGATTTTATTTATTTATTCATGAGAGACGAGAGAGAGAGAGAGAGAGAGGCAGAGGGTAGAAGCAGGCTCCCAAGGAGCAGGGAGCCCGATGCGGGACTCGATCCAATCCCAGGACTCTGGGATCATGACCCGAGCCGAAGGCAGACGCCTAACCATCTGAGCCACCCAGGATTATTTTCTTCTGGGTGTTGATTTAGAAATCAATTACTGGACTGTTCACTTCAACCAAAGTGGTAGAGTCAATTCTTTGTCTTCACACAGCCTTGGTCTCCTTGTAGTGCTAAGCAATTCCTTTATAAAGCTTGATGGTTCTGCCTCCCTATCTGTAAAATATTTGGCTAAGTTGAATAAAGATAGGAAAAACTGGATACCTAATTTTAGACAGGTTAGAAACCAGTTCACCCCAAACCATACCAAAGACCAGGTCAGAGTGGTTAACGCTGCCTTAAAAAGTCAGCCTTAGCTATTTTTCCACCTAGCCAGTCCTGTCTTTGGTTTTTCAGGCTCCTCATATCAGGCAGCTTCCAAATGCAGAATTCCAAAAAGCTGAATTGTCTTGATTCCTCCCAATGTTGGCACAGACTATAAGGAATTGAGAACGCCAATAATCCTAGAGAAACAGATGGATATTTTTATTTTTTTTATTTTTTATTTTTTTAAGATTTTATTTATTTATTTGACAGAGAGAGAGACAGCGAGAGCAGGAACACAAGCAGGGGGAGTTGGAGAGGGAGAAGCAGGCTTCCCGCCGAGCAGGGAGCCCTATGTGGGGCTCTATCCCAGGACCCTGGAATCATGACCTGAGCCGAAGGCAGACGCTTAACGACTGAGCCACCCAGGCGCCCCAGAAACAGATGGATATTTTTAATCACAAACATTTATGCACAACCCAAATGATGCAGTTTTGGATAAAATACAGAAATTGATCTTGGCCTTCCTTATGTCCTTCCATCCTAATGAGGGAAACTGCCAAGGGTAGGGGAGAAGGAAGGGAGAAAGTATCCTCTAGGTTGAAAGATGAAAAAAGCCTGGCAGAAATGGGTCACCTGTGGAAGGAAAAGTCTCAGTGTTCCCAAGATTTGCAAAATGGATCTGAGTTGATGTAGCCCTCATTTCAACTTTGCAAGATGTCATAAAATTACCTTTGGGCAACCTGCCAAGTATTTGAGATTGGACAAAAAGGGGTGGTGAGATGATTTCCCAAACCATAAAATGAAAATGTTATAGACAAAGGACTCTTCATCAAAGTTTAATCCAGCAGCCTAAAATTTCAAAATAGAAAACAGGACAAAGTGATTCACAGATATTAAGGAATAGAAAAGAAAGTAGTACCAGGAAGTAAAGAGAAGGTTTAAAAAAACAATAGGTCCTGAAATAAAGGTTAGGAAAATACAGTTTTGTTTTTTTAAAGGGAAGCATTACATCAGTTGTTAAAAATGGTCCACAATTTCAGTCAGATGTTAAAGCAATCCTTCGCAGGAAAAAAAAAAAAAGGAAATATCTGTAGTATACCTTTGATCCAATTATATTTTTCTACACTTTCTCTGGTATGCCACAGAAAGGTGCTCAAGGTGACACTTTGATGATTTAACTTTGCTATATAAATTTAATAAACTAGGTATATGTACTATTTTGGGATTTTTTTTCTGAATTGGTAAATGTGTTTCTTGAGTAAATACCAAGACATTTTAATTTGACATTTACTTCTGAATTGTAAGGCAATTAAGTGTCAACAATATAGCCAACATCCCTGGGCTGGAGTATCTTTATAAATAAGCCAGTTTAGACTGGAGGGGCTTTCCTAAGTAAGTCTTGTGGTCTCCATGTCATTTTGTAGAGTTATATAGATTTTTTTTCCCTTTAAAACTTACACATCATTCTACTTAATTTTTGTCAAGTTTTTTTGTTTGTAAAAAAGTTAAGTGTTCATTTGTCCCCCTTATTACAACAGGGTGACTAGAAGTTATCTGGCGACCTCCTTAGATCCGGCTATCTGAAACAAAAAAGACAAAGCTAGTGTTGACAGGGTGTGTGACAGAGAAAATTCAAGGACCATGAAGTGGTTCTGTGCTAGTAGCTGTGGAAGACAGGATCCCAAATTTCCGTCCCCTCTGGTTACGTCAGGACCTTTGTTAAAAAATATTGATTCCTGAACACTGCCCTAGATTTACTGAGTCTGAATTCCGGGTCACAACCTGGAAATATGCATTTTTTAAGTAAGCGCCGCAGTCCGTTTGGAAACCACCGCGGGAATTCGCAAGTCCTTTGCCCCCACTAGCCACATACGACCCTACGTCCGCGTCCCTCGTCCCGCCCCCGTCCCCGCCCCCGTCCCCGCCCCCCCAGTGGCCGGCCTTGCCCAGGCCCCGCCCTCCGCCCCCGCGGTCTCGTGCGGCCTCGCGGGACCCTTCCCGTGATGCCCCGCGCCGAGCCGCCGCGGTTGCCCGGCAACGAACGATCCTTGTCGCCGGTCGCGTGGGGCTCCGCCCGGCCATGGGGCCGCAGGGCCTCCCGCCGCTCCTGCTTATGCTCCTGGATTGCTGGGCCTCCGTGAGCGCCCAGACCGGGGCAACTCCGCCTGTGACGACGGAAGGACTCAACTCTACGCAGGCAGCCCGGACGACTCCCCGACCCGCCTTGTCTCTTAGGCCCCCTGGAACCCCCAAGGCCTCTGTGCCCTCTTCTGGCCCCAGGCCCACCCCGGTCACGGACGGTGGGTACCAAGTAGCAGTTCCTGGGGATCCAGAGTGATCCAGCTTGGAGCGGGTAGCCCGGGTGAGGCTGTCATCATGATAGTAAACGTTTATTGAACACTTAACTGTGTGCAGGCATTGCTGAGTATTTCGTAGGTGTTGCTTGTGTCAGCAACCCGTAGGGTAGACCTCATTGTCCCTCTCAGACAGAAGAGAAAAACCGAGGTTCAGAGAGCGTAAGTGGGACAGTACAAAGTCTTTGAAATACCTTGGCAGTGGTCCTGGACAACATTAACGCTAAAGGTAATAATGAACGAGTCGTTGCACCTTTGCAGCCAGCGATGAAATTATGTAAATCCAAAGTTTCTGGGCAGTTGTGGAAATTGAATGCATAGGATGTGTTGAACTTTTCATTTAGCAAAAAGAAACGCCAGAAGTCTAGTTTACATAAATATGACTAGACCCTTCCTTGTCTGTGGACTTGAATTATGAAACCCCAGAATTCCTCCTGTGTTGAGTTGGAGGTGGGAAACAACGGGGTGAGGGGTTATGTCCACTTCTTAGGATTCATCATGAGGGATAATTAACATATTTCTCAGAAAGTGATCTAATTCTGGAGTTAGACATTAGTGAATATTTTATAATCTGATTTGATATGGATGACTTAAGGGGATGGATGTGACCCTGAGATGGCTGTGCCCTGAGTGCAAAATTTTGTGAATGTGCATTTTTCTGGGTGAGGGTTCTTAGCAGTTTCTCAAAGGGGTTTGTGATCTCAAAAAAAAAAAAAACCCAAAACCTTTTAGGTCCTCTGACTGTAACCCCGATATGTATGCAGTTTTTTGATTTTTGTTTTTTCCCCTTCATAAGAGAAGACGACCTTGAGTAAAGCTCAGTATTAGTAAATAGAAAACTCATCCTTGGGTGATATCTTGTACTCTAGGACTTCAGTTCCTGAATCATCATTTCTCCAAAGGGCCGCCTTTATAAATTAGTAAGGAATATGCGTAAGTAAAAGTATAAATGAGTAAAGGAAAAGTAAAGAGAAATACATTTTCTATTTCAGTATATAATAAAGCTTTTTTTAAAAAATAAAGCTTTTATAGCAAAACTGTTGATTTAATGAATTAGTTGAGGAGGTAAATAAGTGATAAATGGGGACAGACTACAGCATAGTATTCAGTATCCTAAAATTCTCTAAGGTTTTTGGACTGGGTTGTCTTGTATCCATCTAAGTATTCCATCTGTTTATGTGATTTCTCCCCCAAATGAAGCTATTCTTGGACCATCATTATTAGGGCATGTGTTCAGGGCTGTTTTTCTGGCATGGGGGGATGAATTTGCGCTTCATCTTTTTAAAGGGCCCTGCTTTAGGCCTGTAAAAGTAATGATAATAGATGACAGCTGGCATTTATTCACTGCTTACTGTGTAGCAGGCTCTGTGCTAAGCTTTTTGTCTGTAATGTATCTCATTTAATCCCCTATGATGTGGGTTATCCCTATTTTTCAGGTAGGTGAATTATTTGCCTGATTTTAGGTCACACCCCTGGCAGGTGTTGGAGCAGGGGCTGACTCTGAGTGGAGAACTGGACACCATGTGCAGGATTGGTTACAGGTGGGAAGAGAGAAGTGATAACTTTCATCTTGATCTGAGCTCTGTTCCTTAGTGTCTTGCTCTAGAGCCAGGCATGTCCATGTTAAGAGGTGTAGAAGAACAGCTGAGAGCTACTCAGACCTTGGGAGTGCTCAGCAGATACTTGTTGGCTGATTAAGTACACTCACATTCTGGATAGAGATCTCCCCCCACCCCAGTGGAGTTATTAAACACTATTGCTTTGTCCTTACTAGTCTTATAGCTACTTAAGGGTTTTGAGTTCTGAAAAAAATCAAGATTGTAATTTTAAACACAAGGCAGGGAGCCTAAACACTTTTTTATATTAACATGCTTGAATTGCATTTTCATTTGACTAAGCACATGGAAGAGTGCTTGGCTAGAGGGAAGTATGTTAGCTTATGGGGGAAGACTCCTGTGTCTCAGATTAAGAAGGGATTGTGTATTTATTGGCAAAACCTTATTCATACTCTTCTTTCCAGAGTATGCTATTTTACCTTTTTTTGAGCTATATTTTTCTAAAGTTCATTTTTGTTGTGAAGTAGTTCATACATGCAAGTCAGAATGTTGCATGGAATCTCTGCCACCATTTGCTTTAGATCCTTGTTTGTTTTGCATGAGATTTTTTTTTGAAAAAGGAAACATTATAGGCAAGACAAGTGTGATCTTATTTTCCCCTTCCCAGCAATAATTACTACCATGAATTCAGTGTTTATCATTCTTATGCTCTGCCATCTTTATTTTTTTAAAGATTTTATTTATTTATTTGAGAGAGCAAGAATGAGAGAGAGAGCACATGAGAGGGGGAAGGGTCAGAGGGAGAAGCAGACTCCCTGCTGAGACTCCCTGCTGAGCAGGGAGTCTGATGTGGGACTCGATCCCAGGACTCCAGGATCATGACCTGAGCTGAAGGCAGTCGCTTAACCGACTGAGCCACCCAGGCACCCACGCTCTGCCATCTTTAAAAGGGTTTTTTTTCCTCCCCTGGTTGACAGAATAAAATAGGGAATGAAAAGTCCAGAGAGTCATTATTATTAAAAATTAAATGTTGTGGGGGTACCTGGGTGGTTCAGTCTGTTAAGCTTCCAACTCTTGGTTTGGGCTCAGGTCATGATCTCAGGGTTGTGGGATTGAGCCCCTCAGGGGACTCCTCGCTGAGTATGGAGTCTGCTTAATATTCTCTCTTGCCCTCAGCTCCTTCCTCCCTGCTCCTCATGTGCTCTCTTTCTAAAAAAAGAAAAATGTTGCGAAGTGGGGAGATTTCTATTCCCGTCATGCTTTATTGTCTAAATTAACAAAGATAGGGGCGCCTGCATCGCTCAGTCGGTTAAGCGTCTGCCTTTGGCTCAGGTCATGGTCCCAGAGTCCTAGGATCAAGCCTCACAGGAAGTCTACTTCTCCTTCTGCCCTTCACCTCGCTTGTGCTCTCTTTCTCTCTCTCAAATAAATAAATAAAATCTTTAAAAAAATAAATTACCAAAGGTATTTCCAGAACCGCAAGTACAAAGTACCTGAGCCAGTTTGATTCTTGGTCAATAGTTTGTGAATGTGGGCTCAGCTTCAAAGCCGCAGGTGACACCTGAAGAGAGAAACAAGTTTGAGAGCCCTGATTCCTGGCGGACTTCACTGGGCTCTTCCTCTGAATCAGAGTCTCCAGAGGCGGAGCTTGGGAATCTGTACTATTACGCCAGTGGTTCTTATGGTCCGGCAAGTGATTTAGCATGCTGGTTAAATTATCAGCATCACCTGGAAAGTTTTTGAAAAACAGATGTCTGGGTTTCCTAGCTTACCAACTGGTGGTTCTAATGGGCAGAGAAGTGATTTAGTTTGCTGGTTCTTAAGCCTGTTTTAATTATCAGCATCACCTGGATGATTTTTAAAAACATAAATGCCTGGGTTTCATAGTCGCTTACCAAATCAGAGTCCTTGTAGGTAGAGCACAAACAGCACTTTCCAAGTGAGTCAGATGATTAGCTACTTTGGGGAAACCTCAGATTGAGAAGCATTCAAACTGACAGATTTTCACTTTATAGATCGCCCTCAAAGTGCAATAGGAAAAATAAAATAGACCTTTTGTATGAAATGGACTTTTGATACTTTGCAGTGGCAGGGGGCAGTCACTCCTTGCTGATGGAGAAGTTCTGCATCCTACCTCTTGTTTCTGTAGTTGCTGCTCTGTGTGTCTGTGACCTGACTCCAGCACAGTGTGACGTCAACTGCTGTTGTGATCCTGATTGCAGCTCCATGGATTTCAGTGTCTTTTCTGCCTGTTCAGTTCCGATTGTCATGTAAGTTGGTGATGCATGCAGTTTTGATGAAATTGGACCAAGATGATAAAATCTGGGGACAGAAAGTGAAAAATTTTCCAGGCTGAAAAACCCAAAGCTGGGTTTCTTGAATTTTGCATCATTCAGAAGCATGCTGTCCAAACCAATATGTAGAAGAGTATCTCTCCCTTATTTGCATCCTGCTGGATGATAGTGGAGGCAAAAGACAAGAGAGAGTGTACTTTGTTAAGAGTATAAGGAAATCTTTGTATTCAGATTGAATTACATTTCACTCTGATTTGTAAACAGATAATGTGCATATTTTTGTATAAGTGAATTAGTCTCATGTATATAGCCTAGGGTGGAAAGTGCAGTTGAATTTTACAGCTTTTGTTGTGGACATAGTACTTGTAACAAAAAATTAGGAAAGCTTTGTTTACACTTTTCTGATATGTAAATCTACCAGGAATTCTCACAGTTCACATTGTATAGGAGGACAGTGGAAAGTGATATTCCCAGTCTATTGCAAGGTAAAGAAACAGTCTCCTCTGAATAATTGGTTTCTCGTAATTCAGACTTCAAAGGTCTTTGAAAAATACAGTACTTAAAAGAGGTTAATTTATTCGGGACGGGACCAATTATTCAGAGATAGCTAACTTAAATTTGGTCTTGTAGCAAATTGTAGCAATTGATACTTGATAGATTGAATGCTTTTTGGAAATACAGTGTGTTTTTCCCACGAGAAACTTTTTTTTAAGATTTTAATTTGGGAGTGAGTGCACACACAGCATAAGGCGGGAGGAGGGGCAGAGGCAGAGGCAGAGGCAGAGGCAGAGGCAGAGGCAGAGGCAGAGGCAGAGGCAGAG